TCAGACCTGCTTGCTGAAATACAAATTTCGATCATAATTGCACGTATGAAAAAAACAATTTTTTCGAAGTGAGAACTTCTAGGCGCGTTGAGCACTTTTTTGGGTGGAGAAAAACATTGGATTTCGCGTCATCGTCACGACCCGTTCCGTGTCCCGTTATCGCGAGGTCAATGAATAGCAATAAATTTGAAGGGTGCAGTATCGCATCTCATCTTATATTATGTAGTATTTTGTAATTATGATTAGATTCTATTCTAAATTGGTATATGAAGGTTTTCGGGGTCGGAGATTATGATTCTTTCGTGAAAATTAGGATATTGAAGATGGCTGACGAGTTTTATTTATAATAATTATGATCCCATTCTATTCAAAATTGGTGTCTGGGGGTTCTCGGCGTCGGAGATTATGATTCTTTCATCATGGCTCCACCAATATGGCGCACGAGTTTCGTAATTATGATTCTATGCCATTTGAAATTTGTATCTGGGGTTTTTTGGGGTCGGAGATTATGAATCCCGAAATCAAAAAATTCAAGATGACGGATTCAATATGGCGGACGAGTTATGTGATGATGATTCTATCCTATTCAAAATTTATATATAAGGGTGTTTGAGGTCGGAGATTATGATTCTATAGTCAAAATTGGGAAATTCAGGATTGCAGATCCATTAAAGCGGACAAGTTTTCTAATTTTATTATCCGATTCTATTCAAAATTTTTACTGGTGTTTCAGGGGTCGGAGATTTTGAATCATTTGTCAAAATTAGGAGATTCAAGCGAACACCATCTCAAAAGTTTTTGTTAGTCTATCTTAGACAGCGAATGTTTTTAGGTAATAAAGTTTGTCGAGTTGATAAAAATTCTGTTTGATAGTGATAAAACCGAGGATAAAACAGTGTATAGTGTGAGTGTGATTATAACGTACCAAAGTTTCCAGGATTCCCTGGTTTCGGTCTTCAACATAACGGTGAGAAATTGATTTGCCATCATATGCTTTCTATATCTCACAATCCATTTTGTTTTAATGGTCAACTTTTTTTAAATCATTTAAAAATCGAATTATAATGAAAAAAATATAAGAAAATTATGTTCATGCTGATATAAAACTCACAAAGTTATTGTATGAGGAATTTTAAAATGAAATATTTTTCTTGAACAACCTGTTTCTCCAAAACTAACAACATTTTCTATGAGAGATGTGAGGCTGCATCTTGATATTCTGATGTTTACTATTTCTAGCTCACACATTGACCATTTTCATGCTGATTTAAAACTTACAAAGTTATTGTATGAGGAATTTCAAAATAAAATATTTTCCTTGTACACCCTGTTTCTCCAAAACTAACAGCATTTTCTATGTGAGATGTGAGGCTTAATCTTGATATTCTGATGTTCACTATTTCTAGCTCACACATTGACCATTTTGAATGAATAACCCTGTATATATTTCAAAGAAAATTTTAATATCACGGAATTCATTGAATTTCAAAAATCTTCCCCAAAGAAGATGTAAGTGGAATATGAAGTATCTACCTACGATAATTCTCTAAAACATGAACTGGATGTTCGATAACGTCTCCAAATGTCTCGAAAAAAAAAGCTGCTGCTATATTTTCAAATATTTCGTATGTGGCTGACTTTCCTGTTGCCTCGCTTTTCTGCCCATTCTTATGAATTTTTGCGACATATCATTTGCAGCAGCTTGCAACACTGGCTTTTCAATTATTGATTATATGCCGGTTAGTTTGAAGTTCATCTGAAGTTCACGCAATTCAAAGTGGCACGTGGCGGACTAAGCGGACTGCGGAAAGACGGGGAATCACCGCGCGACCAATGAATATCCCCCCGGTTCGCCGCGGGAGGGAGACATATAACGATTTCTCGATTTCTCGCTCAGTTTTGTTTTGTTGCCGTGGCGGTATTATCCTTTGTGAATATCGCCATATCAATGGATCCAAAATCTGATAACTGTACTCTGAGACGAATGTTCTTGCATGAGTTTTAGAGTGAAATAACCTGTACTTTTGACACAGATTAACAAAGCTTTTTGAAGTTTGTTCCACAACTGTGCCATTCCTATTATTTCCATCTATATGCTGACATAATTATCGATCTCATGAATAGAATTGAAGAAATTCTGCTGAATTTGTATGTTTAAATTTTCAGGTCCACTTATATAATTATAATTCAGTGACAAATTCTAGGCCGTTTCAAACTACTCTATTTATTTTCTAGTTCTTTTTAGTTCGGTTCTCTATACCTCTTCATTTTTTCAAACTACTCTTTATTTTCTACTCACTTCTTTTTAGTATGGCTATCTATAAAAAGGTGTTTCATTAGTTTTTCAAACTAATATTTATTACAATAGCTGATACCCGGCAAACGTTGTTCTGCTATATACAATTATTTCCAGAAAATATTTTTTTTTTGAATATTTATCAACATACTTATATTCATTTGTTTTCTAATTCTTCTCCGACCCCGAAAACACCCAGATACAAATTTTGAATAGAATCGGATCATAACTACAAAACTCAGTTGCCATCCTCCATCTTCAATTTCCTTATTTTGATGAACAATCATAATCTCCCATCCCAAAATCCCCCATATACAAATTTGGAATGGAATCGGATTGAGTTACAAAACTCGTCAGCCATATTGAATCTGCCATCTTGGATTTCCAAATTTTGATAAAAGGATCATTATTTTCGACTCCGAAAACCCCCCGATACCAATTTTACATAGAATCTGATCATAATAATTAAAAAACTCTTCCACCATATTGGATCCACCATTTTGAATTTCCCCATTTTGACAAATGATTCATAATTATCTACGACCTCTAAAACCTCCAGATACCAATTTTGAATAGAATCTGACCATAATTACAAAACTCGTCCGCCATATTGGATCCGCCATTTCGAATTTCCTAATTTTGATAAAAAATCATAATCCCTGACCTCGAAAACCACCAGATACCAATTTTGAATGATATCTGACCAATCTGTTCTGTTCAGCACCAAAACATACGCTGATGCTCTTAGATTCCATCCAGAGAAGAGCCATTCGCCTGGTGGGTGACGCCACACTCACTCATACTCTTTGACATCATTGGAACACCGTAGAAAGGTCGGCGACCTTTCACTTTTCTATCGATACTTCCACGGGAAATGGCTATCATCCCTCCACTAGCAATACCAGACGAAGTAGACAAGCCCAGTCAGCACATCCTTTCGTTGTCAACCTCGAAAGATGTCGAACAGCACTTTATCAAAACTCCTTCATCCATAGAACGGCTAGGCTCTGGAATTCAGTGCCCGAGGAAGTATTCTCAACAACATATAATCTCCAGAAGTTCAAAAAAAAACTCCAATACATTCCTCCTGTCTCAATCCTCCCTAGGAACGCACGATGTTCTTTGAACATTATAGGGATATCCTTTCGTGCGCTCCAAGCGATAAAAAAAATAATTACAAAACTCGTCCGCCATATTGGATCCACCATTTTGAATTTCCTTATTTCGATGAAGAAATCATAATCTCCGACCTCGAAAACCCCCAGATACCAATTTTGGATGGAATCTGACCATAATTACAAAGCTTGTCCGCCATATTGGATCCGCCATCTTGAATTTCCAAAATTTGACGAAATATTCATAATCTCCGACCCCGAAAACCCCTGAGTACCAATTTTGAAGGAAATCGGATAACTATACTCGGTCACCATATTGGATCCGCCATTTTGTATTTTCTATTTAAAAAATAGATTACGACCGATTCTCATACCTACCGAATACGCACAAAAAATTTCATACGAATTGGTCGAGCCTTTCGGAGGAGTTCGACCACTATGACCGTGACCGTGACAGGAGAATTTTATATATTAGATTTGTTCGTCTTACAAACACTCGGAGAACCTCCCCTTGAAATATGCCCAGATAATTGAATAATACCCTCTGTATTATCACGTCGCCTAGATTTCATAATATGTCCGAGTAATATGTATAACATTGGCAACGGTGTAAACGGGTTTGAATTCATCATCTCTCCTAAGCGCCATCTGCTTGCAATACAATGCACCATTCCTCTCTGCCGCAGTCTGTCATTTCGAACACTGCCATCTATCAGGTAGTGCCTGAACTACCACATCCTAGTTTCCTGCATTATATTCTTTCAAGAAATGGAGTTTACCGAGATCAGCTGGGATGAGTGGATATTTTGTTGACAGAATAATCGTTTTTGTTGCTTCCTGTCCGAATGGAAACATTTCAAGAGCTGATATTCCAGTGACACCTTGCCGAATTTCCAACAATTGTACTGAGATCGAAAATATTTCAATTTGAGACAAAAAAATTTCAATGTTTACATTTTTCAAAAATCTGTATCTTCTATAAATAAATGAGTTTCGACTCCGTATGATAACCAGGCCCTAGTCCCAACCTTCTTCTTTACGATGATTTAATCAGTTTTTCAATTGAATCATTCATAAGCCCATATAGCAACATCTAGTGAAGGCCTGCATGTCGGTTTGGTTGAAACTCTCCTCTTAAGAATGTTTCATTTTTCGTTGGTTGCATACGCATCAGTATCTATGTGTATATATTGCATAATAGCATTGACACTATAACAGTTCTTTACTACCTAGACAATTTTTTTTTATCAATTCATCATTATTTACCTAGGTTTAAAAAGTGTTCAATTCAATTCAAATTTTATTGCTTTTTAGAAAAAATACATTAACTTTCAACGAGAAGGTTTAAAAAGTGTTAGTTCTCATTAGAGGAAATACTCGATTGATGGTGATTTCTCAGGTTAGTGGTGGAAAGAGAATATTATTATCACGGGACCCAATACCCTTCGGCTGAAGCTGAAGCCTCAGTCCCTGGGTAATAATGATATTATTTACCACCTTGGTGTATACATATAACTATTCTGAAACCATATACTAATCTCCTCCAGGTGCACTTCGACGATGTGTCGCTGTACGGCACGCCGAAAGAGGAGCCGGGCCCGACGCCGCTGGGCAGCGCCGAGGCCGGCAAACAGAGTTTCCTGAAGAACCAGCTGCAGGCGCTCTTCCAGCCCACCGACAACAAGCTGGCCATGAAGCTGTTCGGGTCGAAGAAGGCGCTGATGAAGGAGCGCATCCGGCAGAAGGCCGCCGGCCACTGGGTCATCCATCCCTGCTCCAGCTTCCGGTGAGTACCCACCGCTCAGCATTGGAAGATTTAGAATTCAGAGAACCTAACCTAACCTGACGAAAGAAAACCGAAAGATTCTCGGACTAAAATGTTGAAATGTTTTTCATTCAATGAATTGATGCATTTGGCGGACTATAATAGCCTGCTGACCTTATAAGCCAGTCATGTGGTGACGAAGGGCACTGGATTCAGGAAAACATTGCTAAAGATTTTTTCTCGACGGATCTAAACTGGTTAACATTGATAACGTCGTGGTCCAAAATATAGCCTGAATTGAAAGTAGAATAACTCACCGATGATTAGCCTTATTTTTTGACAATTCGTTGTAGCAATTGTAAATTCAGATGACATTGCTACAGGGTGATAATTGAATGGGTGTAAAATTGCATCGTGGTCGTCATCTTACCGTTTGAACAGATTTTTTTTTTCAAATTTTTATCTCACCTGTATCCTCTTGATCGATGCTTTCTCTCGAGACGTTTTCGGAATTTTCAAATTCGAAGCTTTGATAATCGTGTTATGAATATTCATTCAAAATGATGCATTCTTTCGACGATTAATTGAATGAAATTGGAAGTTGGAATTCTTTTTCGAAGAATCAATGTTGTATGTATGGTCGTCGGATATGTGTTCGAACATAAAAAATTCTGAAGAAGTCTATACAAAGTGATACAGGAAATACTGAATGATGGAAAGGAGAATAACGTAGTCTTCAGTAGATGAAACATATTTTTCTCTGTGTTACTAGTGAAATAATGGGGTGTTACTTCGTCATTAGGATGTCTGGTGTCTGACCTCGAAATGGTTTTGTAATTTCTCGGATCGAAGGTCATATAACGAAGGTACGCATTTTTAATCAAAATGATGCGTTCTCGTTGAGATAAATGATAAAATTCAAAAAATTTCGTGATCACGCATTCGTGAGTTTGAATTCAGGCTATATTTCGGACCACGACGTTATCAAAGTTTACCACTTTATATGGTTTTTGTGGTGCTGAATCTGAAATTCTAGTGATCGACTACATTCGAATGTGGCTTCACCACGAAAACTGCAAAAACCATGAAAATTCGGGACTTATTTTGATTTTTTGCTTATAACTCCAAAATGACGTGATTTAAAGAAAGAATACATTTCACAAAAATGAGAGCCTATAAAATTTACTGTGAAACAAGATCAAAATCTGCTCGATATTTTGTTTGATTCAGCCGCTAGAGCGCTTGGAAAATTGACAATAGTTTTAAAGTTGTCCAAAATATTCGTATTTCAGATTTTAAATTAGTACACATCGCCAGGCTAGTGTTTTCGCCTAGTGTGTCTCACCATGGAGTATCCTGAACCTTCTTCCTCAACATTCATTTCATGCCTATGAGTGAGTTGAAATGCCGAACGATAATTATTGTACACTTTGTGATAAGCCGCTGGACGATGGAACCAAAATTGTGAGTGTGCAGAGAGGGTTGAAAGCCATTGTAAAAGCTAGCGTGAGGAGGAGAGACGGTTAAAATGATATGTTCGAGAGATCAAACTCTATCACAGTTCATGAATCATGCAGGAAACAATACACAATACACCAAACAACGAATATTGTTGCTGCTGAAAAAAAAGGTAAAGAGGGCAATCCTCCAGCGCAATTACGATCAGCTAAACTCATTTTTGCATTTCGAACTAATTGTTTTCTGTGTGGTAAAGGAATTCCGGAGAACTATTCTGCAAAACAAAAAAAGTTGACTCCATCTGCACCTGACCATGTCTATCTGGTGAGAACGATGAATGTGAGAGGTAATGTTATTCAACATGCCAGTACTTTAAATGATGATTATTCCCGAGCCGTTGAACACCGTTTAGGACCTATTGAAGACCTGGTTGCGGCTGGTGACTGCTGGTGGTCAATACCATCGTTCTTGTATGCAAAATTTACTGATTAGCATATCCACTTACAAATCCAAAGTACCTGTCGGCCGGCCTTCATCCCCTACCCATGCCAGATTGGAACCAATATACAACTATCTCGAGACCAATGATGATTGTCTATTTATTTTTAATCTTACAACCATGAGTGGATTGTACAAGCAGACCTATATTATGGATTCAATTTTGACTTCAGACCCAATCAACGAAGGGCGCAGATTCCGTGGACAGACTGTAGGCTTTGAAAGTCTGAAATACCAATATTTTGAATAACTTGAAAACTATGGTCAATCTTCAGCGAGCTCTGGCGGCTGAACCAGATAAGTTAGCGAGCTGATTTTCATTGTAAATTTCATTTGCTTTCATTTTTATCTCTGCTAATTTTTCTCTATATCAAGTCGTTTCGGAGTTATGAAGGAAAAACTAAAACAACTCCCGATTTTTCATAATTTCCTGCCATTTTCATGGTGAAGCCATATTCGTATCTAGTCGATAACTGAATTTTCAGATTCAGCATCCCAAAAAACGAATGGATCCGTTGAGAAAAATTCTTCAGCAATTTTTTCCTGTCTAAACTACCAAATGATTGGACAATTAATATGTCATCAGTGTTCACTTATAAGCTTCAATTATAAGAATATAAGAAAATGTCACACCGAAATATTATTGAAAAAATACTAGACTTCCTCCAGTTGTAATTCTGAATAGTCAATTGAATTTTAGAAATTCAAAAAATGATAGCAGCATCTAATAGAACAGAAGAAGTAGCAGTGAGACCACTTTGGTAGGGGAATAAAAGAGCCAATTTCTGTAAAACTGGTTGGCGACCACGAAATATTTAACAAAAAAATAATATTTCTTGAAATTCAGGAAAAACTGTATCTTCCTATCAATATAAAACAAAACTGATATATCCAATGCATTAAAAATGGAAGGTATTCACTATTTTCTGGCCTGGTATCAAGTATAGCACTTTTCAAACATAGACGATAACAGAAGCTTCTGTATATGACAGACGGTTACCAAATGATTTTCTGTGCGAAAAGCTCGTGAAGTGGCCGAAAACACATTTTCTATAGTGATTTGTATGGTATAAGGAATATTTCTCATATTATTTTGTCTTGAATGCCAGAACGGTCGAGAATCAGTGCCGGTCGGTTAACCAGTGCATCTACCCTATAGTTTTCAGGAAGACATAATATTTTCCTAGAAAAAACAATTGAATAAGTACCATTTTCGGTTTCACCGCTCCAAAAGTTTGAATAAGACCTTGTAGATATTATCACGGCATTCGATGAAGCGAAATATGTCCTTTTCAATGGCTTATCAGAAATGGACATTTGTATATTTGAAATGGCGATACTGTGACGTCATCGATCGAATGTTCGTGAAGGAACCTATAACAAGACAGCAAATAAACGAAGCACTTTGATCAGTTTTTGGTCACCCAACATCTCGTTATACGTAAAATATGAATATTAATCTATGGCTGATTAAAATTATGTACATCCTGTGTAAACTATGATAGTTTCAGACATTTCCTTCTCGAAACAGTGTAATCAAATTAACTTATCTGGACATTCTGCAATATCCGACCCACTTCAACTCATGCTGTTCTGAATACATAAAAATAGCAATCTCTTCGACCACTCCTAACAAAAAAAATATGACCATGACAAGGAGTGTCCGCTGATAAATGAGGATCAGATTTTTGTTAACAGAATAACAGCAGTGAACTACGATAATAATTTTAATATACCTAGTAACCAGTATACTAGATCGTTTAGTGAATGTCAATTTTCCCATCTTGCCTACATTCTACAATAATTTACTATATCAGTTCGTATTGTAAAATTTCCCCATTTGGATTCTTTCTTTTTATACAGGGTATGTCACGACGAGCTTACACTATCTCTATATCGAGAATCAGTCGAGAGAAATCCATGAAAATATGCATGCTTATATTTTAGAATACGCTCTCTTCATTTGAAATACTTTCAGCAATGCAGTGTTGCCGCTTCTATCAAAAAGTAGCATCAACTTTGTTATTTCAAATAGAACACCCTGTATTTTATTGCATTTTCAGATTCTCCCTGAAGAGCTGATTTTATCATTGCATCACACTTGGGGTCTTTCGAAAATGATTACAGAGATATAGGGTGTTCAAAATCGAGATTTTTCAACTTTAGGATTTGTTTGTGTCGAAACTATTCATCATCGGCCAAAACGGCTCACATGTCCCTATCTCAACTTTTGATTTACTATTTACTGATATTTAATCGGAACAGATACAGGGTGATCTGAATCTTGAACCACCATGTATCTGTTCCGATTAAATAACTGTAAATAGTGAATCAAAAGTTGAGATAGGGACATGTGAGCCGTTTTGACAGATAATGGATAGTTTGGACACAAAAAATCTTAAAGTTGAAAAATCATGGTTTTGAACACCCTATATCTCTGAAATCTATGGATAGACCCTAAGTGTGATATATAGATGAAATCAGCTCTACAGGGAGAATCTAACAATGCGATAGGATACAGGGTGTTCCATTTGCAAAATCAATGTTGCTACTACTTTCTAGAAGAAGCGGCAACACTGCATCGTCAAAAATATTTTAAATGAGGAGAGCGTATTCTAAGATATAAGCAGGCACATTTTCATGGATTTCTCCCGACTGATTCTCGATATAAAGCTAGTGTAAGCTCGTCGTGACACACCCTGTACGTATTTATTATTTCTGGGATTGAGTAGATTCCCAATTTTACGATTTTGGAGGGTACGTGGAAGTTCTCGTTAGATTATTTATTTCTTTCACATGCATGCTACCGGTTTCGTTAACATAATTTGTTGAAGTAAAAATCTATTCGGCCTGTGTTTTTATTTCAGTATGCAGAATGAGGTATGTCCTGATGACGTTACGTTTTGTTGCACTTTGATTCTCAGTATTGCTGAGAAAGGTTGGGTGTCTCAGGGTGTTCGAGAACTTGTGATTCATTTTCGCAACTTTTCATTATTACCAATTATTGTTTTCTATGAATTCTCATAACACTTTCAATAACGTCACATATACAGTATGGTGGAAATGTAT